GTAATAAAAAAAATGATTATTTGAAAAACAAAAAACCCTAGATTAAAGATTATTTTTCACCCTGTTTTGTATTCTCTGGAACAAAAAAAAATGGAAAACTGAACAGAAAATTGTTATGCAAAGTGAACTGTAGTGAATTTTTAAAAAGATTTGACTATTGGATGATTGTTTTAAATTATACCAGAAAATGAAAACAATGAAAACGAATCCTTTTTCATTGAATTGATTGATTTATTTACATAATATTGAATAGTATAAAAGTAAAAATTTGGTTCAATACCTTTGATCAATTGTTACACGAAAATCCTTTTGATGGAAAATCAAATTGTGTTAAAATTTATTGTCTGTCAGAGTACACACAAATAGGATTCAACAGTGTTAAGTTTACCCAGTGGATTGTTTGTTGATGATGCAGTTGCTTGGTAGATTGAGGAGGCTGATGAATTAGACGTTAATTTGTTCACGTAAAGGTCAGCGTATTTATTGATCCATATACAGATTTCCTGGTCACATGGCCAGTGAATCTCTTCAACTGTCTAATGAGAAGCAATCGATATGTTTGCCTTCCATAAATATCTTGCAACCTATATAGATTGAATATAATTATTATCGAGGAAATTTCCAGAAGATATATCTTGTATCCGTAACGACGATAGCGACCCAAATGTTGAAGTTGATATCACGTTTTATTGCGGTCTTTCCAGTAAAATGGCCCACATTTTATAGTTCCCTCCATCGAATGACATTATTGGTATTCGTTTATATATTTCAACGAGTGTTATTAAATCGACTCATGTCACTAAGGTAGACTCGAGTTAATGGGAAAATTTCAATTGATCTCCCTTAAGATAATTTATATTCTCATCAATATCGATATCAATTTTTCTGATGGTTTCGATATCAAAATTGACCTGGAAATGGCTGACTAGGCATTGATGTAATCACTTAATACATTATCTATTAAATTTTCCAATAATACAATATCGAATTGTAAGATTAGAATTATTATTTCCAATGACAATGGAGAACATATTGAAACAGTAATATTTTATTACGGTTTATTTAATTTTTTATTGGTAATAAATGTACTTCTCTTGAGTGAAATGATGATCAAATTATTACTCTTATTATTGTAATAAAATTTTTCATTGATAAAAAATAGTAGATGTAGCGAAAATTCTTATCATAAGGATCCTTGTTATGAGAAAATTTTTTATTGGTAAAAATGTTGTGAATATTTATGATTTATGGAGAAAGAATTCCAAGATGTATCCTTACTGCTGGTATGCATCTGTGTTCAGACAATATAGATGTAGGAATAAAATTGTTTGTTGACAAGATAGAGGTCTTATGAAAATTTTATTAATAAAATAGAATTCCTAGTAGTTATAACTGGAAATTTTTATAGACGAGATTAATGGTTACTCGAACGAGATATTTGGAATAAAATTTTTTTTTTAAACATCCACAAGAGAGACGAGAGGAAAATCAATTATAACAGCTGACATAAAAGTATTACTGGATACCTAACATGATTTAGGTTTTTGAGGACAGTAAAAAATTTTTACTCATAAAAATTGTGTTATGTTTAACAGTTTTATGGAATGATGGAAAAGTTTATTGTCATTATTTTATTTTTGACAGTCTAGATTTATGGTGATTAATAAAATGTATTTTTTTCCATAAATACTCTTTCTCTCTTGTCATATTCTTTCATTCCATTTTCGAATGAGTTTAAAATAACTGACTGAAATAAATTTGAAAGAAAATTGAATAATAAAACACTCGAATTAATTCAATATTGTTCGAGTATAATTTTTCATTGTAATAAAATATTTTTAATTCAAGAGAATTAGTTATGAATGATATGTGGATCAACATAAAAGCATTTGAATTTACTGTGATAATTTTAATCACAGCATCCACTGGGATCGAGGACTCTCGTTTTAGTGTAGAGAGATTCGTAGGTACATGCTTGCATATGAGAGTAGGCGGAAACATGGACGGAAGTAGTGGTAGAACCCCCCGGTATACCGCGGACTAAATCCCATCCGGTTGGATTTTAACTTGGAATTTATAGTTCACCCGAGAAATTATTGTCTCTATATTTGCTGCTCTCTATTTCAGTCTACACCTTCTAGAATATCTCATACTCAAGACCATTAATTGATTACCCATACTGTGATTGATTCATTCACACTTTGCCAAAAAATATTCATCACTTGGAATTGAATTTTGTTTATTTCATTATCATCACTGGTACATTTTAATGAAAGAAAATAATGAAAAGTTGGATAATAAAGATAAGCTTAATAAAAATAAGAATTAAATAAATTTCATTTAATTAATTTTTACTATCTTTCTCATTTTCGTTTCTATTTATGTATTATTACATTTTTTAATTCTTTTTTTTCAGAAAGAATTTAAGGTTTTTTGTTTAAGTTTAACTGCTACACTTTATAATTCCATTTATTATAAGGATTCATATCCGCGGACGGATACAAATGTAATCTCTTTGAATAAGCAACTCGAATTTTAGAATCCTCTTTACGTGAGAAAAAATAAAAAAAAATATTTCACAAGCATTCATGCAACAAGTGAACACTTTTTCTCTCTTATTCTTCCTACACTGAAGCATTCATAAAATTCCATAGTTTAGTGGTGATATACTCGGATAAAAAAACTCTGAAGGATAGAATGCAATAATAAAACTGACACTGATAGGAAGTTTTACATCTGACGTTTGATGCTCGACCCAACAGCTTTAAGGCGATTTTAAAATAAAAATTGCAGTGAGAAAAAGATTTGACACTATTCATTGTCATTTGTAATTGAAGAGTATTGATTTAATGTTGGATTGAATTAAAAAATTTCTCCAGTTTTACAGTGATTTAAAATCTGATAAGTACTTTTAGAATAGCTGTACTATGTGCACATATATTCAGACATAGTTTGCGATGTTTTAAAACAGAAATTATGGAAACCGGAAAATACCATGGTTTGCTAGTTGTTCAGGGAATTTCTTGAGTATAATAGACAGCTTCTGGGAGTTTCCATTGGGAACATTCACATATAGATATATATGTCTACAAGAAAGTACTTGCGAAGTTGTAGACTCAATGTGGATCTAACAAAGTATATTATTGAACGCAAAAATGGAAGAATAACATACATTGCAATACAATTGAGTATTGACCTTGTCTGAAATGCTTTAGATTGAAAGAAATGAGGACTAATTTTTTCTTTTCTGAAAAATTCAACCAAAATAATAGAGAATTTTGTTTTAATTTAAGATGAGTTTGGTAAAGAAGAATTTTATGTTTATGAAGTAAAAGTGTATTAAAAATTTCTTGAGGGAATTGGATGCCGGATGGCATCCTAGAATATGGAGATGTGCTAACTGTTCATCATTTGGTGTATTGAGAAATAATAAGTTTCAAGCTCTAAAATTGAATATGTAAATTAGTATAAATTGTGGAACTGTTATGTGAAACAATATAAGCTAAGAAAAATTGTGTTTTAAATTTTCTTCAGATAAAAATAATTTTAAATGATTTTGGTAATGATACTAGAAATTACTTTTAAGAAGAACTTACTTCCAAGCTTCCATAATTTTTCCGTTCCTAATTATTGCACTATAAAAAATTACCCTACTTTTGCTCAACTTTAAAAGCCTCTAGAGTCGTAAAATTTTTTGATTAACCTTTCCATGGTTAATCGACACTTTAAAAAGGTCTTAAACTTGTAAGTTTTATTTTTTACTTTTATTTTGATTTTAATTTTTACTACTTCTTAATGATTATTTTAACTTAATAATTATTATAAATATTACAAAAATATTGAATTTTTGGTTTTTATTATTAGAAACTTTTTTTTATTACGCATAAACAGATCGTAAAAAATTTTGAAGGTGTAGAAAAAAAGTTCATTTATTTTTTGTAAGCTTTTAAAACCTCCACTGGGTAATAAAAAAATTTTTGGTTTAATTAAACACAGTTGTCAACAAGCTCATATATTTTTTTCTAATTTATTTTGTGCTGTGTGATTTTATCCAAGTGAAATATTAACTCTTCTCATCTATGAAACTAGAAAAAATGACATCACAATTAAATGATGAATGATTAGATTATTTTAATAATAAAAAAAATTACAAATATCTTTTCAACAATTTAAAGTACTACTTTTTACAAAGAAGTGAGCAGCATAATTTAAAGTTCAACTCCAAGCAAGTTTAAATGAGATGAAATTAAATGTTTCCAGAAGATTGATGATTCGATGCAAAAAAAAAAGTATAAAGTTAGCAAAAATTTGGAATTTTAAGCAACAAAAAAAATAAATAAAAAAAAACAAATGTCAAGAGGTTGAATTGGATGCAAGGGAGAGCACAAGAGTCTGTGTCGACAGACTGCAATATATCTGAGTTTAAGCGCCGAAATTCGTGCCAAATTCAAATGTAGGTCGGGTCACCTGCATCACTACATGCCCATAGGGAGTTTCGTATCTGCAGAGTGTCTAGAATCATCCCTACAGTTACCAGTTGGAATATGTATGTGAGTGTTAGCAACATTATACGCCTCTAACACATCATATGGTCCTATATATCACTGCTCTACTGTCCATTCTTTTTCATCTTCAAAAAAAAAATATACTTCAAAAATGAAAAGATAAAAAGTATGAATTTTTCTTGCATATCTCTTTTTTTCTAAGAAGAACAAAAAAAAAGAAAAATTCCCCATGACTGGGAAATAAAGTTTTCAAAGAACAGACAGCTGGGAAATGTTGGCAAACTTAAAGTTATATAGAACAAGTGTTTGTAACTAATTTAATTTTCGCAGGGTCGTACCGCCAATTCTCTGTCGACTTACTGCAGTTATAATCGTTATATGTTTGCAACTGCTTTTCGTACCGGAAGCTGAGAAAAGTTAACTCCAAGGTGCAATAGTTAATGCAAATAGCATCCTCTCGTGTTCGTAATTTAAATGGAATATCCACCAACTAACCTGGTTGTTACATATTTTGAACTTGACGCTAGATTTTCCTTTACAGGGTTTCCTCTTGCATCGCCTTTGCTGACGCGATAAACCGCCACCACAACTCCTGGAAAAAGTAATGAAAATATGTTCATTTAATGCTCCTTGTTAAATACCTTTAATTATAGCGCAATAATTCATATCTAACATTTATATCCTTGAATTAATTTCATTTATCACTAAACAACTTAAACAATAGATGTAATGTGATCTTCTAAAGCTTGTTAAGAGAAATAATTTCTTTAAAAGATGCTTACAGATTAAAATTTATTACTTTATGGTTTATTATAAAAAAAAAAAAAACATCAAATGGAATAATTGTTTTTTTAATTAAATTAAATAATAAGCAAGAAATAATCATTGAATAATTTATTTGAAAAGTTGTATTAATAATATGTTGAATTTATTATTCATGGAAATGAATGTAATAATTATTTATTCATTGGAAAGCATTTATCTTGACTCAGCATTGAAAAATATAAAACATATTGAAATATAAAAGAAGAACAAAATAAAAGAGTAAATGATTAAAAAGATAAAATAAATTAAATCGATTCCATTAAGTCATTTATTTATTTATTAACACTATTTTCTTTCCGTAAATTCAATTACCTGGTACATGGTGACCATTTAGACCAAGATGTCCATTCTCCCCAAGTGATACTCTGAAAAATAAAAAAAAAAAAATTCAATTAGATTTTGTAACGAGATGAATTTAATCAATTTTCTATAATACAGTTAGGAATAACATTTTCCAGTATATTTGAAACAAATTATGAAGTATCTATCTCAGAGGAAGGTATAACACAAAATGTTGCGAATGAGCTAAAGCACCAACATGAAAGATCGATGAGTCTTTTCCACTGGTAATATGTTGCCGAGTAGGGGTTTTAACAACACTAACTAGCCACTAAGTGAAAAATATTATCATGAAAGATTTTTTATCTCTCACTTAGTTACTTTAATTTCATTAGATTTAAAACGATTGAAATAAATTTTTCTATCAAAGGAACCTCTGTTGTTTCAATAAAGCAGTAGCTAAGAGTCTTGTTTTGTAATTTAATCTCAACATGATGACATTATTTATGCATCAAGTAATTTCATTGGTAATATTAATCGTAAAGATTTATCAACTTGATTCTGGAATGAAGGTTGACCATGAAAAAAGCTCCAGCCGTCTACCTCATAAAGAGCACATTTATCAGACAACCTTGACTGTCTGACTTCTGGAAAATCTCATTTTATCATTTACACTTCAATCAATCACATCCAACGGAAACAAGCTATTAATAATTGAAAACAATAGCTGTCAATATGACATCCTGCAAGAAGTAAGATGTAATAATTCCTATTATTACCATTTTTTTTTCAATTGATGTTTCAACTCTGAAGTGACTAGACAAAACGATCAATTTCTCGTTTAAGGCAGATTAATGGTTGTGTTAATGATTATGTTGGTAGTTCTTCTGTCAAGGATATCAGGCAGCTTTTTATATTGCTCATTGTGACGAAGAGGAACGAACAAATGACGTCATTTCAGAATAATCCTTTATTATAAGCAAGCGTGAATGAAGAGAAAGAGATATGATCCTCTTGTATGGAGAAGTGGCTTTGCATCCCTCACGTTCGAGATCCACCGATGAGCAACGACGGCGGAATTTCTCGAGAAGTATCTCATGGAACAAGAGAGCTTTTGGAGAATTCGTACGTTTATTGATCCCCGTGAGAAGACTGCAAGTCGTGTCTCTAGTGCCACTACTTCTCTTTCGATTAGTCAATGAGTGGACGTCTTCTACACCCTTATTCATGATAATGTCACACGTTTTTTTTCCATAGCATTTAGCACAATCTCTCAGCATCAAGGGAGAGAAAAAAAAATATTCAAAGCTTAGAGACGACCACAAGAGGCTTTCTGCATTAGACTTGGAGTAAGGTATCAGTGAAAGTGAAGGATCATATCTAGATCATTCCACAGAATGAATAATAATAAATGAAGGGCAATATTGCGAATAAAAAGTGTATGAGTGGTTCTAAAATGTACGAGGATCTATCAAGCTTTGATGTTTTCATAGTCTTCCACTGTCGAATGCAATGGCTTTCAGGATAAATAGAACCCTTTGTTTTGGCCGCCTGCTGGACAAGCCACTCAATAAACCATCCTCTGTTTATCTCACACAAGCTTTTGAGCCGTCGTTTTCCCAAATTGACAGCACAAACTTCATGTCAGAAATCATCTTCCAAGAGCTCTCTCTCTCTCTAAGCAATATAGACGCAAGAATCTCTATCAAATTATGAGGAGTCTAGTCTTTGTATGCTAGGCAGCTCGTCTATCTTCTAATTCATTTAATTCTCCTACTAACTCTACATTTTCTTTGTCTACGATCTTCTAATATTGATTGCAAGCACTAAAAGCATCATTATCCATTCTATCATTTGCATCATGCCAATATTAATTATTAAGAGGTTTCAATACTTTTTACCTTTTAGGATTAAAACTGTGAATCTTATTTATTTGATTATCGAGTAGGGTCACCATTAATGGGCTAATTAATGCAAAAGGTAACCAAGAGAAGAAGCTACAGGAAGTCTAGAATTATCCTAATGGATTCAGTTACAAATAAAACCTTTTTAAATGTATGATGGAGTCCTTTCTATTCTTCTTACCATCAGGTGCTATGTTTTTTAAGAATCAAAATTAATGATAATTAAATAATTAATCAGACGAAAAGCTAGATTTAGCACTTGTTCCAATGAGTTCTTGAGATAAAAATAATATTTTTCAACGTTTAAAAAGAAATTTCTATGATAAACAACCACCAAGCTTTCAAGAAAACTGATAGTTTGCAAAAAAAAAGAATCTACAATCAAGGTTTACCATAAAACGTATTTTCTCAAAATTTGCAAATAGCCTTTGTTCGATTTTATGTTGATAGTAGATGAAAAGCAACTTTTCTCCAAGTTCTCTACTTAACATAAAATGCTTTCTTTTTCTAGAATGATCAATTTCATTTAAGTTGATCTATAAAGTGGAATGTAATGAGATGTAGAGAATGACCTCACTGGAATCAAAAAAGCAGGAAATCGCGTCTTGAAGAGGAAGAAAAAAAAGATAAATAATTAGATAAAGAAGAAAAAGGTGAAGTTAAATTTTCTCTGGATTCTGGTGGCTATTCTAGGTTCACCTAAAGTGCTTTCGAGTTCCCATTAGCAAAGAGTATCTCTCACTGCTGTTGCTTTCAATAATTTGAGAGTCTAATGTGTCTTCCTTTCAAACTTGGCATTTTCAGAAGAGCAGATATTTTGACAGTGGCTGAGAATCGAATAAAATAAAGGGAGATGAGAATATGAGATAAAATAGCAAAGTTGAATGTTTCCATCTTGCTTTAAAAGGGTATTGAAGAGTAAAAGAGAAAAGAGAACAGATTGACACCTGCACATTGAAGGGATAAATCTCTAGAACCGTCAAAAGGAAGTAGAGATGTTGGAATGTTTGAATAATGCAGTCCCGTGAGTCTACTCAAAATACGATCAACCCCCTCGAGCTTTCTCTCTCTCTCTTTCTCCCTTTTATCTATTGGTTTTTATCAAAAGAAAAATATACTTTCGCATGTTGTTGAGACCACAGTAACATTTTAACTGGAATTATCGAGTAGCACAATTTTGTGGTGTATGTGAATAACGATTTTATTTTAAACGACGTGAAAATCCAAAGGGATATTGAGATTGAAAATGTCGTATTCTCGCGGGTTGAGAGTTTAAATAATATAACCTTTATCAATCCATTCAAATTTCATGCTTCAGTGAATGAAATATTTTCCTTTATTGCGAAAATATCAAATCTCCGAGTATTGAGTGTTCAAATAAACCTTCCTAGAGATTAAATTTATTACATTTTCCATTTCAAATTTTTCACAAAGTATAAGCAAGTAAAATTTTTTAATCGATTACTAGCACATTCGTTTTTTGAATGATTTTGATAGGAACCATTTTTCTGAATGAGATATCCTAATATATAGATATACTCTAGAGACTGGAATCACATTTTCTCTTGAAAAGAGAGGTAGAAAATTGTTATATAAAAGGTTCATTATGTATCAATGATAAGAAAGATATTTATTATTGAAAAGGATGCTCACTCTATCAATCTTTATCAATCTCCAGGGATCCGATAAATTTATTTTATTTTCGATTTTGAATTTTTTTTATTGAATATTAGATGCTAAGAAAATTTTCTTCTTCATAGATGAAATTTTTCATTTGCATCATTTAGTTATAAATAATTTCAATGAAAAATTTAACTCATAAGTTATATTGAAGTACTTTAGTAGTCTTAAGTGAATTCTCTGCTGAAAGAAGTCGAAAATTGTTACATAAAAGGTTTATTCAATTTCAATGATGAGTAAGATCTTTATATTAAAAGAGGATGCTTTTTATCAATATCTTTTTTTTTTCTTTTGCTAGAACTTATTTGACTTCGTCATACAAATTATATTCGAATGTTTGTTGAAGGTAAATTGAATTTTCAATTTAAGGTAAGGCTGCAAAGACGAAATCTCTTTCTTGTTACATTTCTCATACTCTCTGTTTCTCTTTTCTATTGAAGAAAAAGAAATTGGAACGCCCGAAGTGTAAGTCCTTCGTGCAAGTTTCTTGTGGTAAAAGAAGAAGAAACGATTTCAAATCGAAACGAGAACCCACTACTATTTTTATTCTCAACTCCCTTCTCTTTTCTTCTTATATCCTCTCTTCTAACTCTTCACTAAGTCACAATTACAATTGTACACTAGTGTACTCGTGACAAATAGACAGAAAAAAAAAGATACATTGAGGAGATCATCAAGAGGATGAATTGTGTCATGGAAAAATGGCGACATAAACTGAGAGTTGAAAAATCAAAGGGGTCTAAAACGTCCAAATAGAAAAAGAGAAAAAATATTAAAGGGGTGTTACAATACCCTTGTTTTCAAGATTTTAAAACGTCAGAGGGTTGAGTGAACGATTCGCCGACGTCGAGACACGCTTTTGAATAATGGAAAACCACTAAGAATCACTTTGAACTGATCGACCCTTTGCTTTCTGCCTCTTCTTCGCCTTCAAAATATTTAAACTTTGCTAAAATTGCTTTTTGATCCATTTTATGGAAAATAAAGTCCAGAGTATTTGTTTGACAAATGTTTAAAAATCCTTTTTTTTGTCACTGCCAACAAAGATTTTCTACAGTTGTTGAAGTAATTGTTACAACTGGTAAGTTTCTTCCAACCTACAAGGATTCAGAGCATTCAGAAGATATTTAAAAAATCTTTTAATACAAATAAACTCGAGTTTATTCAAAAGATCTTTTGAAACTTTTTTAATTTTTTAAAGAACAAATAAAGTTGATTAAAACATCATTCCAATAAATTTTACCAGCAAATTATTTCTTTGCCAAAACTGATTCTAAATGTGTATTTCTAAATTTTTTTTCTCTTCCAGTAATTGAACAGAATTATTGATAAATTTTCTGGGTTTAAAATATTACAAAACTATTGAGTTGAGTTTTATTTTTATCCAACTTTTTGGCACGTTTTTGGATTATTATATTCCAGCAGCTATCAATGTCTCATTAAGAAATTCCTCCAGACACAGTGTTATATTAAGTAGGTCCTTGATGTTAAAAGTGGTGCAG